CTATATTTCGTTAATTCGGTTTCTTAAAGGGTTATCTCCATTGCTGTTTAAATAAGTTCTGATAGATACTTATATCCTATGGTGCTTGCAGATTCCAATTCTACTCCAGTCAAATATGTACAAAAAAGGTGTCAAAGACGATATATGATAACGGAATATGAGCTCAACAGTTTTTGGTTTTGGTGAATATTACCTTTCTTATAACACAAGGAAAATGCACCTTAACCCTTAAACCAGGGCTCTCCAACCCTAAAAAGGGCAGGTTGAGTGTGGTTGGACTACCTGGTAAAACCCGCTACGGTACAACGCACGCGGATGGCTGAGTCCGGTATCCTGCAAGGAGATTCAGTAAATATAACCTAGATTCACTGTTGAACTTGAAATATAATTATGGATTTCCACACTGTTATCTCAAAAACCGTAAAGTGTTTAAAAAAGAAACAAAGATTTTTGTAAAATTGTTATACATATATTGTTGTTCTAATAATATAATCTTTATTGCTCACGATACAGACAAGAAAACACTATCTCTTCCAGGCAACCTATGGAGGAGAATAATAAAAGGAAGTGAAAATATGGGGTATTGGATGCAATGACTAGAAGGGTATGATAAGATATATCTTTACATATTAAATAAGAAAACAATAAGTAGATAGAATTAGTATAGAAAAAGGAAATAGTCTTTGACAGGAAATATTACCATTCCAGTAATCTAACAGACGGCTCTATCTCCTCCAAATCGATTCTTTGCTGCTTTGAAATGGTACAGTTAACTACCCTATCCAACATTACTAAATCTTCACTTTTTGCTCTAGGGCAGTTCATCTGGAGATGACCCCTTTGTGCGCAAGCAAAACATTTGGGGATGAAGTCAATAAAAGTCTTAGTGTCGACAGACATGCCGCCACGTATCTTTCGTCAGACATGCGCATGTCTAACAGAAGATACGCGGCGTCTTATAATAAATGATATTAATTATCGTCTACTAACATATATATCCGTGAGGTGCTTGACTGAGCTTCGTCAGTTTTTTACCCACTCTCAGACTCAGGTATTATTGCATGAGCCTCTTGACCGATGAATAAACCTGTATCTCTTATGAAGACTGCAAATACCAACTTTAAAGTAAAGCGATTTGTATGATAAAAAAATAAAAAAAAGAATAACATGATACTATTAGGAGGAAAAATGTTGATATAACTTTAGTTGTCTACACGAATTCGAGAACGGTGTAAAAGCAGTTTAGATTCATGTTGAGCCAAACTTTCTGTATGACGTTACCTGGCCTAAAATTTCCTACGTCACGCTGTAGGATCTTATCCTTTTAGCAGTTTTGCAGGTTTGACCTTTTTCGAGGCATTCTTACAATTTATGCACCTTTTTGAATAAAGTATCTGTTGAGACGTGAACTTTACTTTTTAACGTCGAGGAAGTGCTTCTAGCGCTATTCCTGTTATCTGTTACCTGGCAAGCAATAGGGGGTGAGTACGACTCTTCTCCGTAAACCCACCCAGCCGCAGCTGAGTCACTAGGACACTCGAGTATGGGACCGTTGGTCCCATTATAGATGGAGAGGCTCGGATCCATCGAGGGCCTTTCCCAGACAGGTGAGGCCCTGCAATACAGAGGTGGCTACCAACCACCTTCGCTAGCCTGGAAGATGTAAACCTAACCTGATAAGAATTTACTATCGAAAACCTTATACGTATGTTCACTGTAAACTACTCGATGCTTAATAGTAGCAACGCAACACTCTTTTCGCTTAATCTCCTACTCGCGTGATCGTATACTTATACATTGCAGTATCCAAAATGTTAAATACTTATTTTTCTATTTATATTCATATAAATTATGATCAGTTAATTATGTTATGTTACAGTCAATATCAATACAACTAATAAGTAAATTTCGCATTGGTTGCTCACGGGATGGGTGACCAAAAAATTATGAAATAAAAACCTGAGCCCCACTGCATGGGGATGTAAAAGAGCTGACCATGATGAACAATATATCAGAGACTAAAATTTAATAAAGCGATCAATGTCATAGCAATTTCAGCGAACACAGTACTTCAAATTAATATAACTTTTTTCTTTTATGAACTGACTGAAATAAAACTTACACTAAATATTAACGGAAGTTTATCACAATACAATATTGACACAATACAAAACTGCATTAAAATCGGTTCAAGCCGTTTCTGATATAAGCGTGCTTTGTGCACGCTTATATCAGAAACGCATAGAGAAGCAGACAAAACAAGTAAAAATCATTGTTTTGTATTCTATTACATTTATAAATGCCCGTCATAACAATTTTTTTCATATATCTTCAAAGTACAAATATCGATCAATCACGTCGTAATTATAGTATCGATAGATGTAGAAGATATTACTTTGAATGAACTGTGTGAGAAATACTCAAAGCAGAGCAATTACTCAGTATAATCAGAAAAAAAATCATTTTATACTGACTCAGCTAGGAATGTATGTATGTACCTGAAAGCTCACAGAGCTTTGTTTGTGAAATATGACAATGTAATTTCAATACAAATAACGTTTTAATATAAAACAACTGGAAATACTTATAATCAAACAAATACTATATTGGGAAATGGAAATCTTCAAATAAACAATAAAACATAACAACAAAAACTCGATGTTCAAGAAGCAAGCAGGCAGTCACGCGGTCACCTACCCATTGGGTACAAAAATATCCATAGTCCAATACAAGTATAGGCTTTCGTGCGAGGGCAACATTGTCCAATTTAGATATTGCCATCATCATGAAACTACTATCACTATTACTATGAGCACTAAAGCATGGACTAAATCGTTGACTTAAGTAAGAATACGCATGTAATTTGAAGATTATAATATCTTTAAATTAAAACTCAGTGTACGGTCGTTTAAAATATTTCATATTTGTTGGATTGTTTTCGTTTTCATATCACCTTTTTAATACTTCGAAATAATAAAAGTAATAAATAACAAGCTCTTGAACTTATCTAATAATGATGCTAACACGATTATCTTAAACGATAGTATACGGCTGTCCCAGTTCAAAACCTAGTAACCTAGTAACGGACAAAATTTTACACGAGAGCAAAAATACCCTTTTAGTGCAGCTCCAGACCAAAAGCTAGTAAGAGCTCTAATGTAAGTTTCATTTGATTTGTCTACAACTTACAAATGTAATAAATTAAATATAAGTACAAAATCAAAACAAAATATATATCAAAATCAGATTTATTTATTTAATCAATTGTTTCCATTTGAACAAAAAAAACACAATTCCAATGATTGGTTATTTATAGGCAAATTATACCAAAAAGGTTTTCTTGACGCTGGCGTTAACGGTATTAATTTGGAGATGAAATCACCCTTTCTTGCTTGGTTAACTCCCCAAGGTTCTTCGACAGGGGGACAAAAGAATTGACATAGAATTTTTTCATAAAAATATTCTTATTTTATTGAACATTATTGTCAAAACTGGAATCATAAAATGAACTAAGTATTTACATCGAATTAAAAAAAACTGCACATTAATTTAAAATTTTTACATCATTATTTGCTTAAACGTCTTGTACCTGGTTTTATAAAATGGGTTTCTTGAACTCTACAAATTTGACCAGAAGCACAAACTTTAACTGAAACTCTCTGAGAGGTTCAACAAAACGACAAGCCCTCTTTTTCTTAGGCCAGTTATGACGATGTTAATTTCTAATATTTTAATATTTTTTCTCAATCTCAACAAGCAAAATCAACAAATCTCAACAAAAAAAATTTTTCGGCAAACAGGAATAGATTCATTATTATTATTAGGAAAATAAAAGAATCTTGATTCCTTTTTGATTATTTCTGGACTGCCAGTTTCACTCACTCTGCGTTTTTTTATGCTAATTATTTGAATACACTCGTTTAAAAAGTTACTTCGTGAACGAAAATCAAGTTCCGAATAATTATGCCAAATTCGAATCCTATTTCCAAGTGAAAATGACGCACATTTACGACTACATTTACCTTTACTACTACTATAAACTTAGTAACTCGATTTTTAATGTCTTACGAAAACCACAAAATATTGTTTCTATACATTTATCCACTTCATAACCCAGTAACTATATTTGACCATTTCAAAAACCTAGTATGTGCTAACACATACTAGAGTTTTGAAATGGTTAAAGATACATACTAGGTTTTAAAATGATTCAAACTTAACTTTTCATAAATTTAGAAGCACTTACTAGGTTTAGGGTACCCTATAACTTTTGATAGAAGTAAAATTTGATATAGGGCATTTTGGTATCTTGTGAGGACTTATTAGATAACCACTTTTAACAAAAAAACACAATTTCTACTCTTTTTAGACTTACTAGGTTCTGAAATGGGGCAGCAGTATAACAATAATAAAGAAAAATAAAATTCATATATATAAGCATAAAACTAGTCACTTTCTCCAGTCGAAAATATAAAACACACTCTTCAGCAATGTTACGTATTGCAGTATTGTAAGTAATTCCTGAATTATAACTTTGAGTTAATTTCAAATATATAGAATTGGGAACATTGCTATCATATTTTTTGCAACAATTTTGGGTTAAATTTAACTTACTTCTTAAATATAATGGCGACTAATTAACTTTTTTTTTCAGTTTACTCGCGTCACTTTTATGTGTTTTGATAATTGAAGCCAAAACAAAAAATTATTCTAAGCATAACGTGAAAAAATTCCCGGATGGGTTTATATTTGGAACAGCAACAGCAGCTTATCAAATTGAAGGTGGCTGGGATGCAGATGGTATGCTAATTTCTGAGAAATCTCTCTTTTGTCTCATAGAAAAACAAATATTGTAATTATATTTCAAATACTATGCTTGTATTTTTATAGTCTTTTACGTATCCCAAAAATATCTTACTGAACCTAATAACGATGTAATAACAAAATTTAATTCTTATTTTTTCAATAATTTAGGAAAATCTGAGAGCATTTGGGATCACATGACACACAATTATCCCAGCACGATAGAAGATCTCACTAATGGTGATGTGGCAGATGATTCTTACAACCAGTACAAAAGAGACGTGGAGATGATGCGAGAGCTGGGCTTACAATTTTACAGATTCTCTTTGTCCTGGCCCAGAATTCTACCGACTGGGTTCCCTAACAAACTGAACGAACCGGGAATACAGTATTATAATAATTTAATAGATGAAATGCTCAAATATAATATCGAACCTATGATTACTCTCTACCATTGGGACTTGCCTCAAAGGCTACAAGAATTGGGTGGCTGGGCTAATCCCCACATCGCAGACTGGTTTGCAGACTACGCAAGAGTAGCTTTTGAAAATTATGGAGACAGGGTAAAATATTGGATTACTATAAATGAACCTTATGATCTTTGCGCACCAGGCTATGGAGATGGATTTGCAGCCCCCATGGTCGTTTCAAAAGGTATTGGAGAATACATGTGTGCTAAGAACTTACTGATAGCTCATTCTAAGGCGTACCACATTTATGACAAAGAGTTCAGATACAAAACTAAAGGAATAATTGGTATCTCCTTAAGTGCTAAATGGCACGAACCTGAATCTGAGGATGACACTGAAATTGCTGATCATATGCGACAATTTCAAGTACGTTTGAAAACTATTTTTTGCTTTATAATATTGTAAGAAAATGAGTTTTTAATAATATGTAACTTATTTCTTTTCAGTTTGGTCAATTTGCTCATCCCATTTTCTCAGAAAACGGTGATTTCCCTCCTATAATGAAAGAAAAAATTGCAACCAAAAGTGCAGAACAGGGCTTTTCTCGCTCAAGATTACCGGAATTCACCGCAGACGAAATAAAACTTTTAAAAGGATCAGCCGATTTTCTAGGTCTAAACCATTACACCACGCAAATTATACGTCAGGACGCTTCTGCTACATATGATGTCCCTTCATTCTGGGATGATATTGGAGGTACAACCTATCAACTTGATGAATGGGAATCCACTGCCTCGCCATGGCTAAAGGTAATTTCATTTCAATTTACCTCTTCCTAAAATTATGATGTATCAATATATTTCTCTCTACTTATTACACTTCAACTTACAGGTTGTCCCTTGGGGATTTTACAAGATTTTGAATAAAATTAAAGAAACGTACGACAACCCCACTATCATAATTACTGAGAATGGTTTGCCAACGTTCGGAGGCTTGGATGACGACAATCGAGTGGCATACCTTAGATCTTATATCGGCGCTATGTTGGACGCTATGGATGATGGATGTAACATCATTGGATACGCAGCCTGGAGTCTCATGGATAACTTTGAATGGATATACGGATATCGGTATATTTCAAACAGATTATACATATATATACTATATGTACTGAAAGTATTTAATATTTATTTAATGAAGGATCCTTGAAATAAAACTAACATTGCCGGTTCTGCTCGTAAATCAATACCGGGAGAGCCACTGAGTATAGAGATTCGACTTTCACAAGTGCTTGTAACAGCCTTTATATGCCTTTTCAATACTATAGAAGATTTTTATGGTAATATTTTACAATAAACGTCTTTTTTTAAATTAGCAATTTTATTTCAGAGTGCGTTTCGGTTTGTATGAAGTCGACCATACGAGTCCAAATCGTACGCGCACACCTCGTAAATCCGCATTCGTATACAAGGAGATAGTGCGCACGCGAACCCTCGACACCAGCTACGAACCTGATACCAACCTCATGACCATCGATGAAGGGCACTAGGAGAACTCGACACTTTAATAATCGAATAAAAAATATTACGATGATAGGTTTTTTGATACGATGATTTTCTTGATCACGGTGACATATGTCAATAGCGTTATTGTGCATATTGTGGTATTTTAATTCACAAAAAACAAACGACAATAACTATAAAATGATATGGATTAGCTCTATTTCAGCATAAAGACACAGATTAAAGATTAAATTAATAAAGCATTTTTACCTTTTGAAGTCAGTTTTATTTGATTGAACCTCTAATATTCTTGCAAAGCTGTACTCTGTATTTTTAAACAGAACAGCACGTCAATTGTGGTATTGCTTAAATTTTGCAAAGAGGTGTACATAAGATATGTTTGTCACATAGATTTTTTTTATAATTCTGTGGTTTAGTATCGCTACATAATACGCAAACTATATATATATATCATCATCATCATCAATTCAGCCAAGAGACGCTCACTGCTGGGCATAGGCCATCCTATGTATAAATTCTTACGTTACTCAGTGACTGACTGCCAGACAACGTACAGCCGAAACTACTCAGCGTAGAAAGTTAAAATTTGAAATTAAGATACCTTAGAGAGTGTAGAGGAGCACTAAGAAAGGATTTTTGAAAATTCTTCCGCGAAAGGGCTAAATTAGGGATGTTAATTTGTATGAAACTTGCTACAAGTGCTAGGAGTTTCAAATTTTGCATGCGGGTTTTTTAAGGACGTAGGTGCTCACTAAGACGGGTTCTTACGAATTCGGCCCCTAAGGGTTTAATTAGGGGATGAAAGTTTTTATGGAATTTTCTCATGTCTAGACTTAAAACAGGACTACGCAGGTGAAGTCGCGGACAAAAGCTAGTTTTATATATAACTATTATATTGTTAACTAGATGACCCACAACCATTTTCACTAACCTAGAACAAGGCATAGCTTAACTAGGAATAGCCTGATATCGCTAATGCAGATTATTTTAATTCCAAATAATTTTTTTTTCTTTTATTCCTACACATATTTATGATCTGTCATATACGCAAATGCGTAGCGGAAGGCGCCGCATAACGAATAGCATAACTTTAGACAGCGATTCATTTCGTTCGTCAATGGTGAAATGCATTTTTACCTTAGGGGATTCCTAAATATCTAGGCGATATATTTGGGCGACTCCTAAGTTTAGTGAAAACAGGCACTAGTGTACTTCGTATCACCATTTAAACCTTTCATGGACCACGACAAACGTTTCAAAACAAAATCAGTTACATCAGCGAAGTCGTTGTTGAGTTTGGAGACTAACCAACAGCAATTGATTTTGTATATATAGAATATTTTATTCATAAATTATATTATTGTTTTAATGGTAGTAAAAGCTTTTGGCGTATTTACAAATATATCTAGTTTTTAATACAACTCTTACACGAGACCTCGCTCTTCCTGTTTACTTTACGTAATTAAACAATAGACATTCAGTATCATATTCTCTTTAAGAGAAATTAAATAAATATTTTAATGAAAAATGCTTAAAAAATCCATCAGTTCCATGTACGCCGAGGTGGGATTCGAACCTATGAACTTTGGCAAACACGGGCTGATAACTGATTTTTGTGAATGCAAAATTTATCAAATACAAAAAAAATATATTAGAAAAGAACACGATATTATGCGTACTGTTTACCTATTTTTTCTCTAATTACAAATAGAATGGAATTCTTCCTGAAGAATGTCAAGAAAAGGTGTTACGTTCTTTTGGTGATCGAATTGAAAGCTATCTCATTTCTCTATGTTAACGCTGTCCACTTATAAAGTTTTCTTGGTTAATTAAAGATATATCTGACCATACCTTTGTACATACCTAATACCCCATATTTTCTCTTTTCTTTTATTATTCTCCTCCATATATTGCTTAAAAGAGATTGTTGTTTAATAAGCTTTTGTGTACTTTGTATTGTTACACCACACGGTAGCAAAACAACATGAAATAACACTAGGGTTGTTTTCCTGTCTGTTTAGTATGCAATAAAGATTATTATTATTAAAAGTAAGAACAACTTATTTCAGAATACGCCTTAAGATATATACATATTACAAAACATTATTAAATTAGATATAGTTAACAGTCACATCACAGTAAAAAACAAAAATAAATCTATATTATGTAAATTCATTATTTCACTGAAGAAACTTAAACCAACTTTTGGCACCTGGCTTAACCAGCGCAGATCAAATGTCAAAGATCTCTATTTCACAAAACTTGCACGTAATACGAATACGTGCTATGCTGTGGATATCTACCGTTACATATGTGCATAAAAACTTTAGAATCATTCGATTATCCTAAAAAGTAAGTCCTAAAATAATGACGGCAACTTTAACTCACGTTTCAGCGCATAAAAATAGCGTGTTTTTATTTTTTTATACTTTGTTATTAGGTTATAATTTTGCTGAACAGTAGCAAATCCTTTTATTTATCATTAGAGCGTTCCAAACATGACTAGATCACCGTCTTGAAAGGTCCGAAATATTGGATTTTAAACGAAGTAATCTTATTATTTTTGTGTTTTCTCAAACCCTTTCATTAGATACCAATATCATGACAATGCACAAAAAAATAAATATTGCACCATCATGAAACTTAACTAATCATGCATTTTCGAGTTAACTAAATCTGTATGCAATGGCTTGAGAATAAATGTTTTAAAATTCAATTACAAGGTTATTATGAAACGAGGAATAGCTGACTACAAAATTTAAAGGGGTTAAGTTCAATTAATAAATTTATTGACGAGAGAGGTGTGTAAGGTGTATAGTGAAGTGGAAGGAGTATGTTAGTGGTGAAGGTGGTCCGGTGAACTGGGCGTAGGGCGGCGGCGAAGTTCGGCTGGTGACGTTGAAGCGATGACAGGAGTGGCCTGACGTCAGTTCAAGGGGACGGCAATGTCTTCAGCAGGCTTTGAGGGACGTCATCGATTTGATGAGTAGTCTCGAAGAGGCGTAGAGTTTTCCAGAGTGATGAGCAGGTGGTCGTTCGATAGCAGCTCGGGCTTCCCTGTGTGCAGGCGAAGGTAGCCTTCAGGACAGGAGGCTAGATTGCAGATAGTGTAGAACTAAATGTGGTATTAGTGGAATATTTTAATTGCCGAGTTTATAGGTAAAACCAAAAAGTTTTCTTACGGCTCTGATACCATAACTCTGATGAGTTGACCCCAGGAAATGTCCCCGGCCTTTTGTGAATTTAGATAGCTCAGAGCAAGCTTTAAACTAGCTTAAGCAACTGTTGCTGTAGAAGTGTTTGCTGAACTACCTAGGCAAGACTTTATATACCTGATAACGAGCTCAAATTTGGGAGTGAATGATTTCAATTTAAAACCCTAAAAAATCAAGAGCTATATAGGTTGAATATCTAAAAATTACTAAATGTAAGTAAATTTTTATAAGACGTAATCATGACAACGAAGAAAACTTTTATGTCAGAAATAAACAATAATTGTGTTAAATTAGATAAATAGGTATGTGTCATCATATCATCATACGAAATTGTAAAAAGTATTGAAAAAACTGTGAAAGCTGCAGGTAAGAGTTTATATTAGTGTTAGTAGGTAAAAACATAGGATGAAAGTTCGTAAAGGTTTGGATACTTGTAAACTTTTGATTTTACAGGACTAAAATAAAAGGTGGACAGCAATGGATGGACAGGATGAAAAATAAACATGAAATAAAACCTAATGCTAATCGATATGAACAAAGTTGATGAGCGTGCATCCAAAGTATGATAAAGAGACATAAATTGATAGAAGGTTAGTTACGACGAAGTTTGTCGAACATACTTATATACCTTCGGACATACATTGCAATTAAATGAAGTTCGATAAATGAAGTATCCCTTTTGAATCTGTAAACGTAGGCTAATTGAGTAAAAGGCAAATTCTTGATTTTATTAAATAAAATAAATGATAAATACAAAGTTAACAATGCATATCAAACAATTACAGATATTACCATAGCTTCCAACTTAGCTGGTAAACATATTAATAAGTTATTAATATGTGTACCAGCTAAGTTTATAACTGGCGAGTTTCAGACAACTATTCATGCTCTGATCATAGAAGAATCGTCTTTGATCTCGATTGAAATATACCACCGCTGAATAAGAAAAAAAAACCAAAGAAAACTGATTGTCGAAAATACAGTAAAGTAGTCGAACGATAATTGGAAGTTATTTGTTCAGATAAGGATTACGTCACCACCACCATTGAAATTGAATACCATGTGTAAATTCCTTCAGACTAATAAATCTTACCTCTTTTTACTACCTCTTTTTGTAATAAAAGACTAATAGTCTTATCTCTTTTTTACTAAAAACTTTAGAAAGAATTTGTTAGAAGGAAATTAGAGAAATTTCATTGCCAATATATCCCCGCACAGAAAACGAAACTCACCTGAACTTAATATACATGTGTATATGTGTCAATGTCCCTAGGACCAAACGTATAAATTTTCCAATACGAATGCATTGGCATTATCGACGGTTTGGAAGCAATTAAGGCGAGAAAGGTTCAGCAAAACGACATGAATCCTCTCGGAGAGGACAGCTGTACTTCGGGCCCTTATGAGCACGACCATGGACACTGAACTAATCTACCAATGTCACAAAAGCCTACAACAACTAACCGTGACAGACATAGTATCCCTACAGTAGATAAAAGGACACAGCGGATCAACTAGCAATGATTATGTGTACGAACTTCCTAGGAAGTGGTCCAGCTTATCTCCAACAGGAGCCTAACCTATTGTACCACTACCCTACTCACAGCTAAGGGTATACTTAGTTAAGGTCGCGCACGTTTATGCAACAGAAATTTATTTTACTTAACAATTTTGAATTCAATTCACTAAATTAAATCCAAAATTGAGATAATTAGTTATAATATTTCTGAGGGATTAAATCATCATCATCATCATCACCAGCCTTTTTACATCCCCACTGCAGGGGCTCAGGCCTTCCTTATGGATGGTTA